CCACAACCACCACTACCAACGAATATGTTTTTGAGTGCAGGATGCAGCTTCTGAAGAATATCTGCTTTCATTAAAACAATTAAAAATAATAAAAACTGAGCAAGTTTCTAGTCCTTATGGAGGCCAAACTATTTGTTATTTGTGTGTGAGAGTGTGATGTAGAACTTTGCTCTGTTTTTTGATCTGGTTTTTAGGATTTTTTACTAAATGTTATTGGGTATATTTTTATGCAAACCGCATAGAGACTTATTATATTAAGCAGTATTAAAATTTTATGACTGGCTGAATGAATGAATAAATAAAATTACCTAAATAATAAAATAAATTAGGCATACTTCCAAACCTATGAGCAATATGTAGGGAGATCTGGGGAGCTGGGATAGATAGTCAGCTAGATAGGGGGACTGAATAATGTTTTCAGAGTGTGGGGTTTCATGCCTCTGACTAGTTTCTCTCCCCACCCCCACCCTGTGCCTAGGCAAGCCAGAATAAATTATGCAAAGCAGCAAAAGTTTCAGAATATAAAATCCTGTAAAAATAACGAAAACAGCAGGCAACACTTTTTTAACCAGACCCTTCAGCTTGGAATTATACCCTCCATAAATTCTTTTCAAAATAATGGTACTGTTACCCACTTAAAAGAAATTTTAGATCAATTAATCACAAGTCTTAGACAGCCTATCTATTAACAATTCAATTAAAACCTGCATTTACTTGAATATGAATTAAAAAATGAAAAACTACTCATGGGGTGGAGGAGGAAGCATACTTCCATAATACTTAACAGGTGACACAACCAGATCCACATAATATGTTTAAAGTGCATAGGTTCCCCCAAAGAATCCTGGGAACTGCAGTCCCACCACAGAGTACAATTCACAGCATTCTTAAACTACAGTTCCCAGGATCCTCTGGGGGAAATTACGGTATGTGCCTTAAATGCACACTGGATGTGCTTCAAATGTATGAGGTGGATTTATCAGTACCTGGTATTCCGACAGTGACAGGCAGAGAGAGCAGGAAGGGGGGACCCCCTTAGGTCAGAGGTGTGGAACCACCTGCAATGTCAGAGCTGTATTGAAACCTAGTCAACCTTTCAGGGGGTGCATTCCAAGGAAGGGTGTGGTCAAAGGCAAAATCCATCAGGATTAAAAGCTTTGTTTTACTTAAACTGCTTGGAGGATTTTGTTGATTAAGTGGTATATAAATCATGCTGTGCATCTTTTTAAGCAGCCCAGTGACCTCATCCCCAAAGCAAAGGAATAGATCTAATGTAAGCCCTCCTCAAGAGTACACCCCCTGAAATTGATTGGCACGACCATCTTATGTACATTAATTTCAGTGGGTCTACTTTGAATAAAATACAACTGGATATAATCCATTAGACCCATTGCTATTAATGTTTTAACCTGTTAATTTTTTTTTAAAAAAAGAAAATAAATGTACTGAGCCCTAGCGAAAGCACTAAAAAGATCAATCTGGATACAGCTCTGATCAAAAGTACACACCCCTCATGAATCTACAGTGGTTACAGATGCTTCAGGTTACATACACTTCAGGTTACAGACTCCACTAACCCAGAAATAGTACCTCGGGTTAAGAACTTTGCTTCAGGATGAGAACAGAAATTGTGCTCTGGCGGCGCGGCGGCAGCAGGAGGCCCCATTAGCTAAAGTGGTGCTTCAGGTTAAGAACAGTTTCAGGTTAAGAACGGACCTCCGGAACGAATTAAGTACTTAACCTGAGGTACCACCGTACTATATTTCTGTAGGGAGAATGACAGTACTTCCATGAATATCTCTCCCAGCGGGACGAAACAGCAGCTTGGAGAAGGGGGGTGGGGCATAACAACCTTACTCCTAATTTTTATCCTGCTCTTTGTCCAAAGAGCACAGGAATGCCAAGATGCTTCTCCCACCTTTAATCTTCACAGCCACCCTGTGAGGTAGGTTAGGCAGATCAGGCGATTATAACAGGCATGGCTTTCTTTTCGGCCAGAAACTCACTGGAGCTCTGTCCCGGCACCTCTCGGGTGGGTGCCATTGCCATTCTAAGAGAACGAGGCAGGCGTTCAGGGTGAGTTCCGGCACCTCTTTTTCTAGAAAAACAGCAGTGGTTATAGGGATCTGAACTTGGTGGGTCTCTTTGTTCCAAGATGCCACCCACTGGCTCTCTTTAGATCAGGAAGGGGGTTGGTTGGAAACATTAATCACCCCCCACCTCTCCTGATGACTCCCAAGCTGCTGTCCATTTTTTGCTCTCTGCTAAGTTTGTGGAGAAGGGACGCGGGTGGCGCTGTGGGTAAAAGCCTCAGCGCCTAGGGCTTGCCGATCGAAAGGCCGGCGGTTCGAATCCCCGCGGCGGGGTGCGCTCCCGTTGTTCGGTCCCAGCGCCTGCCAACCTAGCAGTTCGAAAGCACCCCCGAGTGCAAGTAGATAAATAGGGACCGCTTACTAGCGGGAAGGTAAACGGCGTTTCCGTGTGCGGCTCTGGCTTGCCAGAGCAGCGATGTCACGCTGGCCACGTGACCCGGAAGTGTCTGCGGACAGCGCTGGCCCCCGGCCTCTTGAGTGAGATGGGCGCACAACCCTAGAGTCTGTCAAGACTGGCCCGTACGGGCAGGGGTACCTTTACCTTTTTAAGTTTGTGGAAATGGCAATGCAAGCTTTTCTCTCCCTGCCCCCCCCCACAACTGGGAGGGATGGAAAGGGCCCCCTAACACGCAACCTCTGGAAAAGAAGCGAGGGGGGGGGATAGCTTTAACAGAGAAACAACATCTCAGGAACAGAGGGAGACATTGTCCCCACCTGCTGTAATCCAGTGAGACTGCTGGTGTCAGTCATCACCCCGTTCCCTGCTGGGCTAAGGAGACATCAAAGCCTGCCCCATACCATCTTACATGCTCTTTATCAGCTAATCAGGCTATTCTTAGCTAAATAAAGCTCCGTTAAATCCCCTGCTCGCTGGGGCATTCCTGTCCTGCTGCCCATCTGCTGGTGAGGGTGAGCAGAAGCAGTCCGCAGGGAGGAAAAAGGCAGGGACAATGCGGTTCGTCCTGAATCCCCTCCCAACAACTGCTCTGTGGGTCCCGTCCCCCACCCAATCCTCCTGCACCCCCCCCAAACATACTTCGTTTCTTTAATTTTGCTTCTCGGATGGCCCGAGCTAAAGATGTCAGCGGCCCCAGCAAATCGTGACATGGATTAAGGGGGCCTTTATAACTGAACAGCCGACGCTTTGCGCAGATTGGAGCGTTGTTGTTTTTTTTTGAAACAATTTTGCAGCAATGGAGTATATACAAAAAAAGAGAGGGACCCAAGTAAAGAAATAAAGGGAAAAACTGAGAAAAGCAACACAGATATTTGCGAAAAGGAAGGCGGGCTTGGGAGAAAAGGTCAAGAACGAAACAGCAAAGAAAGAGAAAGGGAAGAAATTGAAAGAAAGTGAAGGAAAAGAAGAAGAAGAAAGTAGTTTGGGAGTTGTTTCTTACCATGGTTTTCTTTGAATTAAAGCAAAGGTGGTTTAGAGAGCAGTATATATGCATGGATTAAAAAGTATGATTTAGAAAACTTTTCTTTTTCTAAATCACCCCACAGTTGAAGATTTTTTAAAAAGAACAATCTGATAGGGCCTCTTATCTAAACAGGAACGCTAAAAGAGGAGAGCATTCATGGGTTGGGAATAAATAAACGTGTTGGCAGAGTGGGGAGGATTCAAAAAGGTGCAGAAAGGCTGCATTTCCTCATACTCTAAAATGATGATGATGACAAAGAGCAGGTCCCAGGGCAGGCTGCAACACTTTAAAATTCAGGATTCAAAAGTTTAAAACAGATTACGGTCACAGGAATGGCAGGGCCCTGAAAAGGCACATCTCAGGTGTCTCAGGGTAAAGAGATGCATCTTCAGCATTCACCTGCAGAGTGAAGAAGCCAGACTCACCCCTTTGCGGAGGGAGTTCCACAGCTTAGGGTCTGTTGCAGACAAGCAAGGCCCTCTCCTTGGCTGCCACCTGTCACAACTTGGTGGTGTAACTACCGAGAGCATCCCCTCTGCCAATGTCAGCACCCAAGAGGGTCTGTATGGAAGGAGGCAGTCCCTCAGATATTTTTGGCCTAGGTTATTTAGGATTTTATCCACTGGATGGCAGAGTCTGAGGTGACCCAATGACACTGACAGGCAGCAGGTCAAGGAGAGGCAGACACATCGCTCTGGACCATTGGACATCTTGGCTGGGGGCTGATGGGTGCTGCCATCCAAAACTGCTGAAAAGCACCACACTTAGGGCTACCCCTGGTAGACAATACAGAGCTAGATGGACCAATGGTCTGACTCAGTATGAGGCAGCTTCCTGCACTCCTAACTCTGGCAAAGACCTCCTCCTGGTGGCAGAAGAGAGGAGTGCATGAGTCTGGCATTGAGTGTGGGGTCCTTTCTGCACATGCACCAATCATACCGTATGCAAGCACACAAAACAAACTAACACAGAAAGGCTTCCTTTGAGTAGATGTACATTGCTGTATTGAGAGGAGGAACAGCTGGAACGGGGAAGGGTCTTGCCCAGGCCACCCTATGGCTCTACAGGTTAAAGCAGAAATGGGGAATCTCTAGAATATATTGAACTCCAAGCTCCTATTCTCCCCTGACCATTGGGCCATGCTAGCTGGTACAGTTAGGACTGTACCAGTCCAACCACATCTAGAGGGGCTGCAGGTTCCCCACCCCAAATTGAAGAAGAGGTATCCCTCCTTTTTCCTGAAGGATTGTCTCTTCTAAACAGAGGCATCCCTCCATTCGCTGTATGCAGTAGGCAATGCTGCTGCTTCAATCTGGAATGGAGGAGACTGTGACCCTCCACAGGCTCCTGCATTTCAGCTTCCATTCTCCCCGGCGGCTCGTCATGTTAGCTGCAAGGGCTGATGCAAATCTGGAAGGCCACCGGTTTCCCATTATTCCTATGTCAAACCCGCACACTGAGTTGGAAAGCACAGTTGAGCCTTTACCTTTTCTGCTTCTGGTTCTTTGCTTGCTTTGGGAAGGCAGAGGTGGCACTGAGATTCTTAGGGGCATCCCGGAGCCCAAAGCTCTTTGCCACATGGCCCAGATGGAGAGACTTGACGTGGAAGATGTGCTTGAGGCTGGCTGGGTAGGTTGCATACGACCGGATGAAAGACTGCAGAGCTGGAGGGAAAAGGGAGGAAGAAAAATGAATGTGGCCATTGGGAATTTTCCTTTGCAAAAAGGGATTATGTGCCATCGCCTCTCAGGTGAGATTATCTCCCTGTTGGGACACTCTTCATTTGAGCTCAAGCTCACCTCCAAAACAGATGCAATGTTCACTAAGCATGTACAGAAAGCCAGTCACATACCATCAAATTACCAAAATAAATCCCCTGCACTGGGCAACATTTGTGTATCACAACAGCAGTTAAAACATGGGTGGTTTTCAGAACTTGAGTCTGCAATTCTACATTAATATACTGAAGAAAGAGTCCCTCTGAACTCAACGGGGCTTATTTCTGGGTAGACACATAAAGGATCACATTTTTATTGCTTTAAAAAACCCACAAGTGCGTAAGATGTGATTTGATGTTGGGGTTTTTTCTGATTGGCATGGCTTAGGGACTAATTTTATTACAGAAGCTTCCCTGCCCATCAGCTGTGCAAGCTCTGCTGTCCATCCAGCTCACATGTGCAAACCGGAGGGGCAGCAGAGCTTGCACAGCTGAGGTGCAGAGAAGTGGCTGCTGCTTTGCTACCCTGCACGCCAGCTGCTAGGCGGGGAGGCATCCTGCTCATGAGGAGACCCTCCCCAAAGTTTGAAGAGAATGTCCTCTCCAGGATCTGGGGAGGGTCTCCTTGCAAGTCAGGAGGACTCTCCAGGATGCTCCCCATTTCCGGGATCCACTTCTGAGTTCCCAGAATTGCATGTGTGCATGTTCCCGCACAAATACAGTGGTACCTCGGGTTACAGATGCTTCAGGTTACATACGCTTTAGGTTACATACACCACTAACCCAGAAATAGTACCTCGGTTAAGAACTTTGCTTCAGGATGAGAACAGAAATCGCGCGGCGGTGGCAGGATGCCCCATTAGCTAAAGTGGTGCTTCAGGTTAAGAACAGTTTCAGGTTAAGAACGGACCTCCGGAATGAATTAAGTACTTAACCCGAGGTACCACTGTACAGCATGCACATATGAGAAGTTGTTTGTATTCATATACATATGTGTGTGTGTGTGTGTGAGTGAGAGAGAGAGAGAGAGAGAGAGAGAGATCTGTCTCAAATAATTCATGATAGCAGGTTGTCACCCATGTTAGTCCTACTCAGAGTAGGCCCACTGAAATCGAAAGACATGACCAACTTAAGGTGTTCATTTTAATGGGTCTACTCAAGAGTAAAATTTAGCCCTATGCATATGATCTACAATCTGTATTATGAATTGTTTATTTGTAACGCTTGAATTATCATCTGTCATTTTCCTGTCGTAAGGTATTGGGCAGCTTACTACTTTTATTAAAGTCCCTTGTATCAGTAGCTCCCAAACTCACCCCACCCAACTTGAAGATCGCTGAAGGTCTTGGCAGGCGACTTAATAATTTTTCTGGCTATTGTAGCAATTGCAAAGCGGTGTGCTGGAGCCTGTATGGTTTTCAACTGTACGTATTCTTAATGCTCCTTTTGTTTCTTCTATATTGAAATGTATTGTGTTATGATATGCATCCCACAGAATCCAGACAATTCCAAACTGTGATTTGATAAAATACAACAAGAAGAAATAAAAGGAGAAATAAAAATGCAACTAAAAATCAATACGAATGTTTGATGTGATGGAAGGTCCTAACCAGAGATCCGCAGACACACCGTGAAGCTCATGGACATAGTTTGGGAATCCTTGTCTTACAGGTTTTAGTGTCATTCTGAGGCTTGCCCCTCCCTCTCTGCTGACCCCAGATGGAGAAAAAGCAGCTGTAAAACAGCACAAACACTTCTTTTAAAAAACCAAACAAATGCCTTGTGTGACTCTTGCAGGCCACCATAGGGACAGCTACTGCAATGTCCACTGAGTACTTCTAAACTATTGGCTGTGAGTCCTGGAAGACTTGCACACCATTTTCCTCCTGGCCTGGGGGTATAGCCCAACTCCAGATAAGATACAGGGGCTGAGGCTGCTTAACAGATTCCTGGCCTGGGGTGTTTAGGGGGGTTGTCGCTGTTGAGTTTTTTTAAAAAACATTTTTATTTTAGATCTTGTTGTGATTTATGTGGAAATTGTTCAGTCCGGTTGTGTATTTTAAAAAATGTTTTATTTATTGTTCATGACTACTTCTGCTATGTTGTAGTTATGAATTCTTTTCATGCTGTAAGACGCCTTGAGCGTGGTTTGAACTGTAGAAAGCTGGCATACAAATAAAAACTATGTAGGTACGTAGACAGTGGTCCCTCTGGTTGCGAACGGGATCCGTTCCGGAGGCCCGTTTGCAACATGAAAAGAACACAATCCGCAGCAGCATGTCTGCGCATGCACGGGTTGCGATTCGCCGTTTCTGCGCATGCGCGTGACATCATTTTGCGCATCTGCGCATGCACGAGCGGCGAAACCCGGAAGTGACCCTTTCCGGTACTTCCGGGTCACCACAGGACGCAACCTGAAAGAACGTAACATGAAGCGGATGTAACATGAGGTATGGCTGTACTTGCAAAGGAGGCCACTAAAGATTTCATGCTTTGCAGGGTTAGCCCCCAGTTCTCGTTCCCCTCCGATTCTCAACCCAGAATTCTCACATTTCTGGTTTTCAAATAAATCCCAGCGATGCAGCTCAGGACCCCTCCCCACTTTCTCTCCCTACCCTCATCTCAGACCCCTGCCTCCCCACCCCAGACCACCCCAGTCCCTTAACTGCATCGAAACCTAACACTGCTCCCCCACCAGTCTCTTTTGCCCTTCCTCACTGAGTCAGTAGACCAGCACGTTTGCCCACAGCTTAAGCCTAATCTCTCAGGGGTGGCAGGAGATTGGGGTTTACGAACAGTAATAAAAATGTCATTTTAGCGAGATCAGTTCCTGGAAGGACTCTGGGAATCCATCAAAGCTCTGTTTGCCAAGCAAAGCGAACACCATTTCCCAATCAATGAGGGAGTAACGAAGGAGAGAGCACTACAACCCCTTCTTCTCATTTCACATCATCAATTTTTTAGAGACCCGTCTGGCGGGGGAGGGGGAACACAGGAAGAAAGAGAGGGGAAATTACCGGCGGGGGCGGGGGGGTGAGTTGCCAACCTTTCTAAAGGTAATGTTTGATATTTTAAGATGTTCAGTCACGACTTCAGGCCCAACTTCATCATACAGGTGGTTCAAAAGCCACATGGACAAGAGTTGCTTGGTTCAAAGCACAGAAATGCTGCCGGGCTGGCCTACATCTCTCTGCTTCTTTCCCGCTCCACCACACAAAGCAAGTTCCTAGTCCATATCGGGCAGAGAAGAAGGAAAAAAAAAACTGGAAACACAAGTCAGAGTTTGCCATTTTTGTGGGTATGCACACCTGTGCTTTCCCCTCCTGAGCTCAAGGCGAATGACCACAATACAGAAAACATCAGGGAAACCTTTATCTAAAAACCTTATTTAAAAAAGCAGAGGCAGAGGACTATGAAAAAAGCAGCCAGCAGGTTCAGTACCACTGTCTCCCCTACTCAACAGCCTGACCGTAGATGGTCACAAGAGGCTTACGGAGCAATCAATAAAACAATTAATCAATCAGATTAATATGGCATTAAAAAATCAACAACCCAAGTTCATAGGTAATCCCCACCCCATAAAAAGGCACAACACAACTCTGAATAGAAAGGTCTACATTAAATGTCTGAAGTTCAGCAGGGAGGCGGGGGGGGGGGGCTGTCTGATCTCAGCTGGAAGGGGGATTTACAATAATGAATGCATAGTTCCTAGTGCACATGAGCTATATTGTAACTACCAATAGAGACTCTCACCCGAATAGCAAGGAAGCTACATGGCTGGCAAACCTCCTTTAGGAGGTTATTCTGGAGCCACGACTGAAATGGTCCCCCCTTTCTCATTGCACCCAGTTTGAATGTGCATCCCACCAGAACACAGAATTGAGCATGCCGTGGTCAACCTTTGCGGGGAGGGCAGCAACTACTAATGGTAGCTAATATGACAGATCCCATGAATTGCAGGGTGAGGGAGGGGTATCCAATGTTAGTCCTACTCAGAGTAGCCCCATTGAAACTAATGGACATGGCTCACTTAGGTCCATGAACATTAATAGGGCCACTCTCAGTGGAACTTGGTTATATGCAATTCAAAGTAACTTCACCTCTGTCAGATTGGTTCTGTGGGATCTGGAGTATAGCTATACAGTGGTACCTCAGGTTACAGACGCTTCAGGTTACAGACTCCGCTAACCCAGAAATAGTACCTCGGGTTAAGAACTTTGCTTCAGGATGAGAACAGAAATCGTGCGGCAGCAGCGGGAGGTCCCATTAGCTAAAGTGGTACCTCAGGTTAAGAACAGTTTCAGGTTAAGAACGGGCCTCCAGAACGAATTAAGTACTTAACCCAAGGTACCACTGTAATGCATAACTTTGCATATTATCTTTGGGCACGTAAAAATCAAATGTATGAAAAGCAGTTGAAATTGTCAATTTGTCATCAAGGTTTGGAGTAAGTTTGTTGATTTTGCACATTCCCAATCCATGCTAAAACGAGTATGATCAATCCTTTGGGTTTCTTCTTCTTCTTCTTCTTCTTCTTCTTCTTCTTCTTCTTCTTCTTCTTCCCCTCCCCCCTTTTACTTGTTGGCATCCGTCTGTCTTGAAAGACAATGGAGTGCGCCTCTGGGGGTGAAGTCAGACCGTTGGAAGAATCACAGTGCCTGCCATTTTAAATCTGCCCACACAATTCCCAGTGCTTTATACGGAGTCAGCCCATTGGTTCATACAGCTAAGTGTTGTCTACACTGACCGGCAGCAGCTCTCCAGCAACTCTCAAACAGGAGGTTTCTCCCAGTCCTACCTGGATTGAAACCAGGACCTTCTGCATGCAAAGCAGGTGCTCTGCAATGAAGCCACGGTGCTTCAAACAGGAATGTAGGAAGGTCCTTCACAGTCAGGCCACTAGTCCATCTAGCTCAGCACTGTCTACACTGTCCGGCAGCAGCTCCCCAGGATTTCAGACAAGAGTTCTCAACCATCTGGAGATGCTGGTGATTGAACTCTGGGGCCTTCTGTGGGCAAAGCAGATGCTCTAAAAAGTACCCTGACAGTTAAGTCCAGTTGCAGATGACTCTGGGGTTGCGGTGCTCATCTAGCTTTACAGGCTGAGGGAGCCGGTGTTTGTCCGTAGACAGTTTTTCCGGATCATGTGGCCAGCATGACTAAGCCGCTTCTGGCACAATGGCACACCAAAACCAGAGCAGCGCACGGAAACACTGTTTACCTTCCCACCGGAGTGGTACCTATTTATCTACTTGCACTTTTTGGCATGCTTTCGAACTTCTAGGTTGGCAGAAGCTGGGACAGAGCAATGGGAGCTTACCCCATTGTGTGGATTTGAACCACCGACCTTCCGATCGGCAAGCCCTCAGTGGTTTAGACCACAACGCCACCTGCGTCCCCCACAGCCACAAGGGAAAGAGAGTTGGGAAAACGGTGGTGGTCAAGTCTCCACATGGCCCCCAAAAAGTTCTACAGGAGGAAACACAGCCCTTGGACTGCAAGAAGGGTTTCCATCCTGGCTCTAGCCACTGAGCTATGGGCCCTTCCTAAAGAACAGAGTGAGGATGAACAGCCAGATATTTTTTAAAAGTAGCCGCTCCTTTGGGAAGGGGTTCTGTGAGGCAACGCTGGCTACCAACAACATCGACCAGGTCAAAACATAAATTGAAGCGAAGAGCTTGGGGTGGGAAGAGAAGGCTAAGAAAGAGAGAGAGAACTGTGCATTTGGCATCGTTTCCGTTTGATTTCCTGCCATAAACAGGAGAGCCAGCTGCCACGTTAATTATTCACCATCCTTGGCTTCAACAGAGGAGGAAGAATGGAGGGAGGTTTATGGAAGCCAGCCGGCGTTTGGAAATCCTGCATATGCAGACAGCAAGAAAGATGGGGCGATGGAGGAAGGGCAAGGAGGAGCCACCTTTGCATGGGACGCAAAACTGGGAAAACACAGAGGGCGAGGGAGAGAGAAAGGGAAGCGCTTAAGATATTCATGGGAAATGCAGGGCTGGTATCTCTCCCTCTGCAGTCATCCAGCATTGCATAAAGGTTCAGGCTCTGGCACGGAAGAAGAGAATCGCATCTGCCTTTATGGAGCCCTCAAATGCATAAACTGTGAGCAGCAATATGGGTTTGGTAATGTAAGAGCCTCTCCCCACCCCCACCCTTGATATCTTGTGCCACTGTTGATGGTGTAGAAGATGCCTGCTGGTCAATTATGCCCAGTCCCACCAAGCAAATCCTGAAGACTGCAGAATTCAGAGGGTCACTGCTTCCTTGTCCGTAAAATGGGATGTGAGGGGAGAAATCATATTCCGGACTGGTTGTGTGCCAATTGTTCCACAGCAGAATAGAAAAAGGAAAAAGGGGGGGGGAGTGGCCTTGGGATCAAACTTTAGAAGGTTTCTTCCTGGCTCTTCCTCCTGCTGAAAATGGGCCTGAAAGCAGTGTTCTCTTGCAGCCAACATAATATGTTGCTTTTTTTGATTGGTTGTTGTGTGTGCAAATTGTGACTGTGATGTTTGCAGATTCACTCTTGGGCTCAAAAAGTTCAGCTGCCCTTGTGCTGAACCGTAGTAGCATGATGGAAAGATGTTTCCGAGATGCCCAGGAAAATATGATTTTGCTTCTGATTTCAACTAACCATAGTTTAGTTGCAGTGTTCAGCTTAACTGTGGTTAAAGCAAGAGGGTGGAATTCATTCTTGTGCCGAAGAGGGGAGGGTGTACATCTAGGAACATAGGAAGCTGCCTTATACAGGGTCAGACCATTGGTCCATCAAGCTCGGCGTTCCCTGCATTGACTGGAAGTGGCTTTCCAGGATTTCAGACATAAGGCTCTCTCAGCCCTGGAGATGCTGAGGGCTGCAGCTGAGACCTTCTGCATCCAAAGCAGATGCTCTACCATTGAGCTATGGTCCTTGCCCTATATAGGGTTGGCTGCTGAAAGCTGAGCTTGGTTATGACAGAGTTAGCACTATGGCATTTCACTTAAACCTATTAGAAGGTTTTAGCTGGTTTCAGAAGGTTGTTTTGGGGAGTTTTAATTGTGCTCTGTTACCCTGCTTGCTGCCCTGGGCTCCTTCAGAAGGAAGGATGGAATATAAAATATAATAATGTTTTAAGAAACACCACTCAATGATGCAATAGTAAAAAATGTTTTTCATCACCCTCTCTTCTCCTGCTAAAACTAAAAATAAGGATTACATTCTAAGATTATCAAAAACAAAAAGACTCCTAACCTTTTTTGGCCCGCTGAACAGTTTCTGCATTAGAGTGGACGTAATTCTCGAATTCAGTCTGCAAGATGGTGGCTCTGCGCCGCACTTCCTGGGGGTCATCGCTGTGGAACTTCTATAACAGACGAAGAAAGTGGGGGTGGGGGAAGAAGAATGAAGAATAAATAGATTTTATACCCAATTCTTCACTTCTGTTTATTCAGCTTATGAATCGCTCTGCCATGGGACAGAGATGGGGGAAACGAACAGTAAAAACCACTGAAACGAAATATCCATTAAAACAGTACCAAAAGTGTTTGCCAATTAAGGAAGTCACATATTAAATGTCCCAAGCACAGGCCACCCTCTCCAGGTTACCAGACTTCCAGGAAAAAAACAGATCAGTTATTTAGTATTTAAAAACCTTTATGAGCTGGCTGCCTTGCCAACCAAATTTTATCATTATCAGCCCAAGCTGAAGGTGGTGGTGGGACAAAGAAAGCGGGTCCCCTCTGCTGATCTTAATGCCTGAAAGTATCAGTAGGGAAGAATATCTTTCAGATATTTGGGGCCAGGGAGAGGAGGGGTGGCCTGGGGAGACTCCTGAGGGCCAGAGAGGGACCCAGAGGGCCACATTCAGGGCCTGTGCTGTCTTATCTTTGAGTTTGCACTGATAGCCACCAAGCTTTCTGGGCTTGCAACTCCCCTCCCCTTCCTGAGATGTGAATGAAGCTAGCCAAATTCAACCATACAGCAAAAATGTCTAAAACAAAGAGCCCCTTCCCCAATATCATAAAAACCTGCTGGATACGGCCGATGGTGAATCTAGTCTAACATCTTCCTCTCATAGTGGCCAAACAGATGCCCCAATGGGAAGCCCACAAGCACAGCCTGAGTACAACAGCAACTCTCCCCTCCTGCAATTTCCAGCACCTGGCTTTCAGAGGAACACCATGAAGGCTGGACAGAGCCATCATGGTCTGTATGACTGGCAGGTGAGATGATGTTACTGGTGCCGCCACTAGGGGCTGCTTGGTTAGAGGTGACCTGTAGCAGGGCCTTCTCAGTGGCTGCTCCCTATTTGTGGAATGCCCTCCCTGTTAAGATGTGCCTGTCTCCATCAGAACGAGGAGGAATCTAAAAGCATTCCTGTATCACCCAGACATTCAGTGGCTGAAATACACTGCTCCTGGCATCATGCGATCACTGTTGTTAACTGTTTTTAGAACGCTTTAAAAAATATATATATATTACTTACGTGTTTGCTGCCCTGGGCTCCTTCAGGAGGAAGGGTGGGATACCAATTGAATCAATTAAAAATAATATATTACACACACACACACACACACACACACACACACTTCTCCTGAGCTCATCCTAGGGGCAGCACTGACAATCTTCAGAAGCACACCTTCCAATGTATTTCTCTTCTTCCAGAGCAAAACCCCCTCACAGATCGCCTGCCACCTTTCCAAAATAACTTACATGGCCTTCAGCATCGCTAACCATATCTATGCGATGATGGTGCAATTTTACATAACATAGCAACCTGCCAGCATCTTTGAAGCCAATCTACCAAAGACGGTAGGCTCCCTCCCCCCCCCAATCTTCTAATCCTTTGCTAAATAAGCATTTATGCCATTGGTAGCATATTCCCTGTTAACTCTGTGTCTCTCCCCTGTGCCCCCCACACCATTTTTTTGGAATGCAACTGCCAGTATTGTTAAGAAGAGGAACGGGAAGATAACTTATGGAAGTAGAAAGAGGAAAAGGAAATGAAAGAACATATCCAACTGAGGTTTTGCTCAGAACAGACTCACTGAAATTAAAGCACCTAAATTAGTGATGACTGTTCATTTCAGTGGGTCTGCTCTGAAGTGGCCTAGTGGATTGGGCGGCTTGAAGAGCTTGGTACAGATTTATGGAGGAGAAAGCTATCAATGGCTTCTAGCCACAGTGGCCATGCTCTGCCTCCAGTTGGAGGTGGCAATGCTTCTGAACACCAGTTGCTAGAAACCCACAGGAGGGAAGAGAGCTACTGTGCTCAGGTCCCGCTTCCAGGCTTCTCATATCTGTGTGGCCACTGTTTGAACAGGATGCTGGACTGAATGGGACCCCTTCTGGCATGGTTTAGCAAGGCTCTTTCCATGTTCTTCCTCCACCATCGGTGGCAGTATGCTTCTGTATGCCAGTTGCTGGAAACCACAGGAGGGGGAGTCCCTTGTGCCTGTGGGTTTCTGACAAGCATCCGGTCAGCCACTGGCCTGATCCAGCAGGCTCTTCTCATGCTCTTATACATCCCTATGTAAACAAGTGCAAGGAAGGCTTAGCTAAGGGTTTTGCAATCTAATTGTTAAGCAGCTTCCATTTTGTCTGAATGGTTTTCTTACATAAGCATTTAATAAAATGCTAGTGTTTTTGGAGAACAAAAATTCTGTTCCTAAACTTCCGCTGCCCTGCAACTACACTCATTCATGAGAAAGACTTTGAGAGGAAACCCTGAGGAACAATCTGTACCACTGTCCTGTGGGACATCTTCAGGAGAAGGAAAGGCTAAGGAGGAAACCCTACACAAATCTGGAGTTGAGTCCCTAAGACAGTTGGATGGTGTCTTGTATGCCTCCTTCCGGCAACTCCTGCAGCTAAGCTGGTGTCAAATGTATTGATCCGCTTTCCTTTGGACCACATCAGTGAGGCTGAGAGGGGGTTATTGTCATCTATACACACAGCCCAGGCTTGCACCCCAGAGAGTCACTTCAGTACTGCTACAAATGCAGAAATAATGTGTGAGGCAGCAATTATGAGCTCCCAGCCTCTGCAGCCACAGCAGGTGCTGTGATTCTCCAGCAGTTTGACTTCACCCTCAGAGGTGCACTCCATGGTCCCTCATGATAGACAGAAGTGTGTGTCACTCACAATATAGTTGGGGAACGACAGACAATATAGTGCCCTCCAGATGTTTTTGGACTCCATCTCCCAGGAGCCCCGGCAGATGGCATGGCCACTGGCCAGGGGATGAAGGAGGTTGAAGTTGAGCAAAAGACAGTGGGCTACTCCTATAGGAAGGCAAGCTTCAACCAAAGCTGAACGCAATTTTAACAGCTCACATTGACTGCTATGGGGAATGGCCAAGTAGGGGCTTAACAGTTCAAAGGCTGTAGCTTGGTGGTAGAACATCGTGCTTTGCATGCAGACAGTTCCAGGTTCACTCCCAGCATTTCAAGGTAGGGATGGAAATGCCCCCTTGCCTGAAACCCTGGAGAGCTGCTACTGGTAAGTGTAGACCATACTGAGGTAGATGGACCAACATTCTGATGCCATATAAGGCAGATTCTGATTTACATGTCTCCAAAAGTAAGTCCCACTGAGTTTAGCGGGGTTTATTTCCAGGTAAACTGGTATAGGATTGCAACCCAAATCCTACTGATTTATCAGGAGAACTTTGAAGTGCATGATTCTTGGCTGCATTTTGCCTGAACTAAGCATAAATTTCTACTCAGGAGGGAGTGCACATTTCCGAGCCTAGATCTGGGTTTGCAAACCATCGTTTGTGAGAAGACTGCATTAACTGTGCCAACTAAATCCAGGTTGCTGGCTGGTCTCACCAAAAGTGGAAAAATCTTTACACTCTCAGACACTTCCAATTCCATATATTCCAAAAAGCACATTCTGTGGCAATGGCTCGAGGAGTGTGCTTTTAAATGGGCAATTTCTGTGTGGCGTTTACTCTGTTTAGAATGCAATGCTGAAAACCAATTCAGATTTCAAACACTAAGGGTGCTTGGTTACATTGTTTAGCAGTGAGAAAAAGTCTTGCAATATATACCAAAATATGGAGTTAAAGGGGTGGAAGTGTTAGATATGCTGCTGCTGTGTGTGTGTCTGTGTGTGTGTGTGTGTTTAAAAACAGAATGTTCATGAGCAGAATAAATGTACAAAGGGCACCTCCTCTTGGGCAGTGCCCCATATGTAGAATTATCTGCCCTGTTCAAATTAGTGGTGACTAATCTGTGGAAGCCGGTGCCTATTGGAACTGGCAGGGCAGAAAGCCCAACAGTAGAAGGAACCAGAGGCAATGACAAGCAGGGTCTGCCCCATCCTCTCCTCCTTGCTGAATTCTACAAGGGGCCACACTGAGGCTAAGGAGGAAGAAGCTAACAGGCAGAGCTACCACCAGCACTGGAAGTAAGAAGGCAGGCAAGCAGGTAGGGGCTGTTGGAGAGAAGTCTGAGGTTGGCGTGGCAATGCCTCATTTGCCCTAATGGACCAGCCTTCTTTCCTACGTCCCTACAGGTGCTGGACTCCAGCTCTCACCAGCCCCAGCCAGTATGGTCAACGGTCAGGGAGGATGTGATTTATAGTCCAACAACTACTGGAAGGCCACAATCTTCCCATCCTTAGTTCAGATAATTTACCCCTTCTGGCATGTGACCTGTTGAGGGTGCTTTTTTCCAGCAAACCTTTGTTTTTAACAGCTGTTTAAAGTTATGATGTGTTAGTCCTGACTTTTTTAAAAAATGTTTTTACTATTAATGTTACTGTTATGCCTTTATCTGCATACACACAATGGGTTGTCTCCAGCTAAGTTCCACTCAGAGCAGACCTACTGAAAATAACGAGCCTACATTATTGTTCATTTCTTAGGATTCCCAGACCTCCTGATGGCAACAAAACCACAACATGGTTTACTTGTTTAGTGGATATGTATCCCACCATTTCCGCCCTCCAAGGACCTTAAGGTGAAGTACATGGTTCTCCCCCAACCTCATTCAATCTCCACAACAACCCTGGGAGATACACAGGTCATGGGCCAAAGGGCAGGCACAGTGATCCAAGTTCAGGCAGCGTGAGCTTCATGGCCAAGTGATGATCCGAACCCAGGTCCTAGTCCAAAACTCTACCTGCACTGCACCATACTGGTTTTTACAAAAAGTCATGCATACTGATTTCAGTGGGTCTACTTTGAGTAGGACCAGTTGCAACCCAATGTTCTTTTATTTATATATATGAATATATGTCCATTTATGTACTTCCTTGTGCATTCTGGTGGACAAGCGACATACAATTATTATTTTTAAAGCGAGTCAAGTCTCAGCTGTTGTGAAACGCCAAAAACTTCCTTTCCTTCTCTCCCCC